TATATATATATAGATTTTTTTTCACTCACAAAGGGTTCGGTGAATGTGCATATTTACTGGTTGAGTTTGGTACTTCTAAAAAGGTTAAGAACCATTGTTGTGGTAAAAGGTTCATCAAAAACCATCACCTGATTTATATATCTTTGTATAGTTGTACTGAATGCTGTAGGAGAATATCCACCTGGGAGAGACAACACGTGAGTGAAAAAAAAAGCAAAAATATTATCAGAACCAAGTTAATTTTGAATTCTTATTTTTCTTAATGTTTCCCTTCCAAACGTTTTCCTAATTTGGGGATGGAACTGGCAAAGTGACTGACATGAGACACTCTGAAATCTATTGATTAAAGTAATACCTATACAATTTAGCTGTGTTTCCAGTCCACTTTATAGTCCACTGCTTCTCAAATATAGCCCGCCTTGCAAGAATAAACATCACTGCCACCTACTGTAGCAGATGCGCAATTACATTTTATTCTAGTATGACATAAAAAAAAAAAAAAAAAACATTTTCAGTGTGGTCACCCCCCCACCCCACCCCCTCCATGGCATCGTACAGCGCTCCTAATTATTTGATAGATAGCTACACAAAGGGCCCATGAATAATTCCATAAGCATCAACACTGGGTAGTAACAATGTAAGAGTAAACATTAACACATAAAAAGTACAAATATTAATTGTTCCATACCATTTAAAGTAGTCGGCATCTGCTAATTCTTCCCCTTCAGTGTTCCCCTACACTTTAACCGACCAAATGCTGCCTATTAAAGACCATGTCAAGTGAATTCAAAGATTTGTTTCTGAATACATTATCCATGTTTTTGCATAATCAGCAATTAGCTTCAAATACTGACAACAATGTCGTACTGAAATGTGGAGACAGTGTTAAAATGTTTTCACCATTTCAATTTTTCTTTTTTTTTTTTTTTTTAGGCATGGCTGAAACAGTAGTCCAGGTGTGCCCATTACGTCGATCGTGATCGACCGGTGGCTCGGCGACTGTTCTCAAGTCGATCGCGAGGGGGGTAGAGGAGAAAAAAACAAACAAACAAACAAACAACCGTTTGTGTGTATTCTGATTTTTATTGCCCGCACAGTGGGTTAGCTCATATGTGACCTCTTCAAAGTATTGATAGCTAGCCAGAACATTTACAGTGACCCATCCCAACCAATTTTGGGCGTTTTAGGGGACATGCAGATGAAGTTACATCCAATTTGTACGTTGCCGAAGAACATTATCAAACCTTGAAATGGGATCCAGAAGAGCCATCCACTGGGATAAGCTAGCTGTCCATTGTCAGCGATGGTGCGGAAATTTCAGGGAGCAAAACAAGCAACAGGCAGACACGGGTGTTGCACTGCAAAGGTGTTTTTTATGGCATACATAATCGTTCTCTATGCTTATTTCAACTCATATTGGTTCTCTTTGCTCTTACTTGTCCCGAACAGCCGCACACTACTTCATACAGACACTCAATCACAGGCTATTCCGTTGTAACAATGGAGAAAGTTACCTCCATTTTTGTCCGCTTTTTGAAATCTTTAACATGCCATGACTTTGTTCATTCTTAACATATGGACCAAATTTTAATGTTTTGTTGCTTTATTCCAGAGGTGTCAAACTCATTTTTGTCGCAGGCCACATTTTAGTTACAGGTTCCCTTGGAGGGCCCTTATGAATTTTGGGAAACCATATAAATGTTTAGTCACCTCCACATATTACATATATAGCACCCAACAAATTGATGGATACCAAGTTTTAAAATCAGAAGTCAAGAATTATGACTGTTATTGTGAATTACATATGACAATTTGAAATTTTGGTTCAGACTTTCGCAAGCATCAAGGAACTTGACATGCTTGACTTGCTTTCGCGGGCCACATGAAATGATGTGGCGGGCCAGATCTGGCCCCCGGGCCTTGACTTTGACACCTGTGCTTTATTCCATCTCTTTGCAGTGACATTGGTCTTGCTAGAAAAAAAAAAGATTTTAATTTTGTTGTCACGTCCTTGCACGTTGTAGTCCTTTACCAGTACCTGGAGGCTGTGAAAAGGTGTAGGCCTACTTTCATTCCAATATTAGATGTCATGTCTAAGATTACGAATGAAACGACCGTGAATAGAGACAAACATGACTTACCAAACGCCGTGTTTTATTGAAAAGTTGGTTCCCCAGGTAGCAAGAAGCATTGGTGTTTTGTAAATCAAGTCTTTATGCCTTCATAATAATTGTTACAATGCTCAGTGACAGTCGGCGCATATCCGGTATATTTTTTTTCTTTCTTCACTTTTGAACACAAGAAATCCCAGTCTTTCAAATGACCATCTGGAGAATACTTCAGTTTTTGAGGGTGGATACCAGCAAATTGGGTGACAGGATAATACATCAACACACAAGGAAGTTTGTTTTTGATGGAGTAAGTATAATATTCAAGTTCGTATGATTCTTGAGAAATTGCAGAATGAATTTTGTCTTCTTCAGGCTAGTTTGTTGGAATGTTATCATGATTGTTCCAATTTCTCACTACTACTTCCTGATAGTAGTCCCAGGAGAACATTCCTGATGGGACTACAACGACCAGATTTTTACAGCGATTGCAATTATTATTATTATTATTATTGTTATTATTATTATTAAATCAGTGTTTGTGTACTGGACTGATTCAGATTTGCCATGAAAAAGAAGAGAAAACTTAGATACCCTTGACCCGGAGAACATGTGCCAAGGGAAACATGTGGAAGGAATAACAAATTGACAACCCGAGCTGGAACATCCAAACAATTATATTAGCAACTAATGCCAGCACTACAACTGTGGCACATTTATGCATCATCATAGAAACAGGAGAAGACACAGGAGATGTATTTGGTTACACCCAGGATCCAATGTTTTAGTGTCAGGGTGGGAGCTCAGTATTGCGGCTGTACGTGTAGCCACATGCCTCATCTGTGCTCCATAAACTTCATCCAGTTTCTTCACTGGCTCGTAGGAAGGTAGTTGCAAGTCCAATGAGTATTAGTGAGAGGGCACATGTGTGAAATTGTACGCATATCGATGCAGCTTTACATGTCCACATCAAAGGAAGAATTATCTTGTTTCTGTCTCTCTAATCTCCATCAGGAATGAGGAAATTAACACAGTCTTTAACCCACGCACACACACACACACACACACACACACACACACACACACACACACACACACACACACACACACCAGACCATAAATCACATCTCCATTGAAGCAATGATCTCTGAGCCCACTCCCAGTCTAATCTAGTTCCTCATGTCTAAACTCATGTTGACACGCTCCTCATCTATCACTGATTGCACGGTTAGTGTTTGGAAAGAGGGAACGTAACGTGCGAAGAGTGATTATTTCCACTCACACCTTTGTGAGATTTAACACACTCTATTAAAGAGGATGTTTGAACGCAGTGCCTGAACAATGCACACAGTTTATGATCGATTCCAAAACTCATAACAATGTGACAATATGGACTAAGTGTTTGTTGCTTGAATTCCATTATTTAGTCATTTGTTACCATTGTCCAGTGTCAGTTCTGATGTGTTTTCATTCATTTCTATTTGTAATTTTTCTTTGCTTTGAATTGCTACTCTTTTTTTTTTTCTCTTTCGAAATCCAACATGGCGCCATAGTTGGCAGCCACTCTTCAAGAGCTTTGCTTTTTGTTGTTTTTGTCTTTTGTTTTGTCCTATGATGTTTGTTGTCCTTCATGTGGACTCGATGTGGACTGTTTTCAGTGTTTTGGTCATGACATTCATTGAAGGAAGAATCTGTGCTTGATTATTACGCCTTCTCTGCAGCACGCGTGTACCAGCACTGATTTTGATCGGGAGGCATGTCAGCGTTACAGTGAAACTCCTCTACAACGAAATCATGTTTGCAGCAAGAAAATTTTCACAACAGGGGGTTTTTCACTGTAGCAAATTTGATCTCAGATGTAAGCACACACACACCCACACACCCACACAAACGTATGTGTACTCTATTTTTATTCCAATAGTGCATAAGTATGAGCACACACTTATTTGACACTTCATATTGTCAGTGTAGAAAGAAAAAAGGGGAAAGAAATTGCGAAATTTATGATCAGCATTCACTTTCACTAACATCAATTTCTTGGATAATGTCTTTGATTTTGCTTGCTCCGTCTTTCATTTTGATCACTTTTACCCTCTCTTCCAGCATCAGAGCTCTTCTTGTCTTAGCTGTTTGACATCCAAAGGTCCCTTCTGTAGCCATTTTAGCAATGCAACGTCCATCCTCGTCTGAATCTCACAATAACAAATACTTCCTGGTATGCAATGAACTTTTAAGCCAGCCCCGGGGCGCTTCGTAGTCCTCGATGGCCATAGTTAGCTCTCGAAGGCTAAAAACCTTACGCTAACTGGAGCGCTTCTCTCTCATTAGCACAAGACAGCAGAATCAACTCCAGATCAACCCTAGGAAAACTAAGGAGTTGGTTGTGGATTTCTGCAGGCAACAGTCCTCACCAGCACTGATGAACATCCAGGGTATGGACATAGAGAGGGTGACCTCCTACAAGTACCTGGGTGTTCTTCTCAACAACAAACTGGACTGGTCGACTAACACGGACACCCTGATTAGGAAAGGTCAGAGCAGACTTTTCCTACTCAGGAAACTGAGGTCTTTTGGGGTTCAGGGGTCACTCCTTAAGACTTTCTATAACTCGGTGGTGGCCTCGGCCATCCATTATGGCATTGTCTGCTGGTCAGGCAGCATCTCGGCCCGGGACAGGAAGAGATTGGAGCGACTAGTCACGAAGGCTAGTTCTGTCTTGGGCTGCTCCCTCGACACTCTGGAGGAGGTGGGCAACAGCAGGATGCTAGCTAAGCTAAAAGCTATGTTGGACAGTCCCTCCCACCCCCTCCAGCCCGCCCTGACAGCACTCGGTAGCTCCTTCAGTCAGAGACTGTTACACCCGCGTTGCAAGACGGAGAGATACCGCCGCTCGTTCGTACCGACTGCTGTCAGGCTGCTGAATAAAAAATGAATAAATAAATATATCATAAAATTATTTAAATGATATGACAACAAATGTGAATAGTACTGTGACTATTGTATTTATATTGCACTTAATTGAACTTATTGACCTTATCCATATTTATATTTATATTGCACTTAATTGAACTGTGTTTTCTTTTCTCTTCCTTCTACCCTCAATCTTGCTGCTGAAGGCTGTAAATTTCCCCAGTGTGGGACAAATAAAGGATATCTTATCTTATCTTATCTTATCTTATTTTACACCTTCTGTTTTACGGCCTCTCCGCACCAATCTGACGTCGGCAGTAGAGAAGTCGGTATATGTCATCTGCTTGGTGTAGAGCGCAGCGTTGTAAAGTTGTCAGGGTTTCTGGGTGGCTTGTTTGGCCGGTCAAGCAGCCCTGACAAATGATCACTCTGATTAGCTAGTGAATCAGTGCATGGAGACAAGAGCGGTAGTGCGGAACGCAAACAAACAGAGAAAGAAGAAATGTTAAGAGGTACATACAGTTTTTGCATATTTTTTTACTGCATTTACATCGCATTGCAAGCATATTGATGACATGACCACCTGGATGGAAGAAAGTCAAAAGGAATTCAGCAGCATGATTCAGAAGCCACCCTTGTACTCATATCAGGTGAGATTGATTTTTCTTTTCTCCCGACTTGAGCACTTCAATAGAAACAAAGCGTACCTGTTTTATTGTTTGCTCGTGCTTGATGAATATCATTATTTTGTGTAATATCTCCAGAGAATTTGTTTTCATAAATGTAGAATGTTGATCCAGTTCCTGCTTAGTGGCAAATGTTTACGTCGCCCATCCAAAGCATAGACACAGCCTGAGCACTTCCCTGAGCAACATTCTGCTACTCCTCCAAAGTCTCCAGCAGTGGAAAAACAAGAAAAGACAATGTGAAAGCCCATTTCAGAATCCAAGTCAGGAGTTCTTTACTTATGCTATAAAACTTTTTCTGTTGAATTACTATACAGCATGTGAATTCTTTTTAGTGTTCCATGATGTGATTTCACATTTAGTGAGCCTCCCACTTCATTATATGAAATAAAAATGCTGTCGGTGACACTCCAAAGTGTCTGGAAAGTGGATGACTCCAGTTAACCTTTGGATGAGCATATGGCAGCCAACACAAAGCCTGAAACCCTGTCCTATCGATACTATAGTGCTTCACTCCTCCTCCCAAAGGTGAACAACCGGCCACTTGGGCCTGTCTCTAAAAGTATACAGAGGAACACACACACACACACACACACACACACACACACACACGCACACACACACACACACACACACACACACACACACACACACACGCACACACACACATTCACAAAGCTCCCGACCCCCTCCTTTTTATTTATTGCCCCTTCCGTGCTCCCATCCTTTCATTTTTAGATAAGGTTCTTTCACCACATGCAGGACGCAGCTGAGAGGTCAGGAGAACAACTGCAAGACAGAGGGGACCGATGCTGAGCTTCTCATCGAACTATTAATTACCCCGGAACACACACACACACACACACACACACACACACACACACACACACACACACACACACACACACACACACACACACACACACACACGAATTCAATAAGAGACGACACAATGAAGCATTTATTTAGAAGGGGGAAAAAATCTATTCTTCCTAACTCCTTAGTTCCTAAGTCAGAACAGAGGCACGTTCAAATACTGGAACTTGAGCACTCAATGGGCAGATCTGTAAAGTATTATTTTCTTTTCTTCACCAAAGGGGATTAAATTATTCCTGGTGGGCGGATGAGGTTTATATGTATGTTGGCCAGAAAGCTTGTAGGGGTCCACTGAGGAATGACCATCTGTTACTAAGCTGGATCTAAACAATATCTGAGGTATAGTAGCTGTGTTAAAAAAAAAAATATATATATATATATATATATATATATATTATATAATTATATACTGTTTTTATTGTTTTGTTCATTGGCCTTATTTTATATCTGTGATTCGTCTGAATCATCTTTTCCTTTTGGAAAAGGAAAAAAAAAATCCAGATTCCAAGTGTTTTTTTGTTTTTTTGGAACATCTGAGTAAGTGCATAATTTTCATACTTTAGTCTCTGTATCACTTGACTCTCCTTCCTTTTTTTTTTTTTTTTTTAGCACATACATAATTGCATTTTTACTGACAAACGCAATGAGTTCCACAAATTGGAATGCATGTGATGCAACCAACATGATGTGGTCTAGTCATGCCCAGGTGAGTGTATCAAGGCAATCTTTGCTTTGGCTGTCAAACGAATGACAAGTGGTGAGGTCAGGATGGGGGAAAGGTATTTCCACATTTACTTTGAAACGGAGATGCCTGAGGAACGAGACAGACGTTTCTCTTCTACTTCAGCCATGGAAAAAGCTGGCAGGAAGGGTTTTAATTTGGATGTGTGTGTGTGTGTGTGTTGTTGCCGCACTTGAAGTCATGAATAAAATCTAGATAGAAAAAAATAATTTGCTGTCAGTGAACACCGTAGAAAGGGTTCTGTCAGTCGTCATCTGCATCTGTGGTTAAAAAACAAAAACGTCCTTTTTTGTTTTTTGTTTTTTACCCACAGGTACAGATGACGACTGACAGAACCCTTTCTACGATGGAACTTTCCTGTACGACTGAGAGCCTCCACAAGTGTCTGTGAACACTGAAGGAGTAAAACTTTTAGACATGAAGCACTGAAACACAGTTTAAACACTTTCCGATAATGCAGGCAAGTCCAAACGTATTTGCCGCTGATGGCCACATACAGAAAAGTGGAAGTACAAAAAAACCCAAAACAATCCAATACACTGTAGGTGACACTGTAAGTGAACATATACTTCAAAAGTCAAATGTGTCAAAAGAAAAACAATGTCTCCAGCTCAGCTTGTTCGTGTCAAAAATGTTTGTGTACTATCTAGTAACAGTCACAATTATTTTGATCCAAAATGGTCTCAGGTCTTGAAACATTCAATGTTGCAATTTATTTTCACTTGTTAAATATATATTTTTAAATTGTATTTATTTTGATAAAAACACCACTATATACTGCTAATATAAAATCATTGTGTGAGAAATTCTCATCACTTATTTTTTACATTTCAAAAAAGATTCACATTTAAAATGTGGCATCTTGTTATATTTAACTTTTTTCTACATCTTATAAAAAAAAAAAACGTGATTCCTTACATTTAAAGTTTTTCATGTACTATCGTTAGAATATGTGACTTGGCAATGAAAATTGTGCAGTGGGCAACAAACTTTGGACTTTGGGCATGGCCTCTAATGAATAAAAACGCATGGCAACAGTGTTATGATCTACCAAGTTGGCCAAAAAATTAGGTCAGATGAGTCCCCGAATTGTATAAACTGAGCTGGATTCTCCATCAATCCACTTTTTTTTTCTCTGATGCCGCAAGCATAATCCAGGTTTATAATTCATTAAAGTTTTCCACAAGATGTCAAGAGGCATGTGGATGTGTTGGGTAAGACCTAAAGTCCCTATAAAAGTGTGAGAAATGCCTTCTAAATTTCACACACGACGCAGAGAAGAGTTTTGTTCACAGCACTGCCAAATTTGAATGAAATCACCAAATACATAATACCTGCATGTGGCTTCAAAATGGTGAAAATCAATCTACGGTCTCTGCTCTCAAACACTGTCAGCTATCAATTTAGATAGCACTACACCTGAAAAATGGATGCTAACTTGTGCACCATCTTTCTCGCTCTAACACACAACTACTGGTACATGTTTGAACCGTGAAAAAAGAACTCCTGAAAGACTTCAAGTGATTGGAATATATCCCACCGAGTTGTTGACTTGACCTGCTGACAACAAGGCACTCTAAAGTGGCCATGTCAGTGCAAAGCCCCAATTCACACGCTAACTGTCATGTCAGAATTTTGCTTTCAGACTTTTTCACGCTCTATCTTCCCAGTTCATGACTGTATCGTTTTCAGTTTTTGCACGTTTTCAGCAGTTACCTTTAAACAAGCATAATATACACTATTTAGTATTGAGGTACAAATTCCTGAAATCACTTCACAGAGTCTTAAATACAAAGGCTCACTTTTCTATAGTTAATATTCGTTTTTTTTCCCCCAAAACTTTATGGAACTCTGAACTAGAGTTTGGCAGCATTTTTTTTTTTTTTTGTGTATGATCTGGGACTGAGGCAGGATAGGAATTTTTCTATGGGAATGGGATGGGATGGGAGTGAAAATCCACCCACCCCCATGTCACCCACTACTCCAGACCCAACAAATGAAGCCTTTAATCAAAGTCAAAGAAGTTTTTCTTGCTGCTTGCCTTTTGCAAGCGCTTTCGGTTTGTTCTCTCCTTTTCCTGGTTCTTTGTGACTAGCGTCCTTCGTTGTACTTTGTCAGTCTTGCGTTTTTATAAATAAATATATTTTTGTTCAAAGTCTCTTATCTCTGTCTACGCTTGTGGAATCCTTGTTCTGTTCAGAATCCTTCCTGACAGACAGTCCTTGATCTTCTCATTTAATGATGTCTACTTAAGGTGATGTCACGTCATTGCCGCGCAAAATAAATGAAGCGTTTGCGTGACTACTATCACCACAAATATCCTCTTTAAGCTTCATGTTTCAAGTGGGATTCAATTAAAGTCAAATGTTAAGACAACAGCTGTTCCTCAAAACAACTCACTTCTGCCCGCGAACTTGCTCATATTGAGCATTTGATGATGTATAGGTCGGATGTGTGTGGATGAGTGTTCATACTGCAGACAGATGACATACATATCCAATTTATATCCATAAACAAAAGAGGCTTGATTTGAAAAAATATATATACAAAACTAAATTATACTATTCAAACTGCATGAAAACAATCAGATGCGTGTCACGTATGCACAAAAAAAAAATTAATTGACCCGCAGCGTGAACATAGCCTAATTGCCAACTTCACATTGGCCAACTTTACATCATCCACAAGTTAGGATCGTATAAACGTACTTTTCATGCACCGATCTCATGCATGGACTCCAGTGAGCCTGTTCTGCTTGTTACATGTAGACCAGAGTGGAGCCGTTTCGATTGAGATCAAGTCAGCTATGTTCACTCCCACAGCAGCGCAAACCTCCATTTTTTGCTTGTGCACATCTACAAAATTATTAAAACGAAAAAAAATAAACTTTACCCAAGTACACAGACTACACTTTGTGCTAGACTAGTACAATGTATCATACAGCAATGTGAGGCCAATAGTGGAAGAAAACATAGTGAGACTGTGGTTCTACTATGCTGCTCAGTGCTCCCGGTCATTCTAGTTTTATGCATCTAGTAACAATTCAGTGCACAAATAAGGCATAAAATAAACGCTTAATGGTAGTCACAGAGGCCATCACAGTCAAAGAATTTGCATTTGAGGGTGGAGTCAGGGTTGAATGGGACTTTGTTTTCTCTAGTAGGGATCAGCTCATGATGTGGGCAGACCTGGAAAGAACCCGAGACGAGGTGAAGTGGGGCTGGTTTTAAAATTGCAATCTTTGGCATTATTTTTTAGGTGAGATTTCTTAGCGTGATAAAAGTGAATGTGCTATCATGGAGCGCGGAGCTTTAGCTTTGAAGTACGTCCAGCCTTGGCCGAGAGCAGCTCGGAGGAGCGAGTGGCTACGGAGCGCCTTGGCCCACCACCACTGCCCCGATCCCGGCGTGGAGAACGAAATCGTCGTTCTGGCCACCGGAATAGACCAGTACTTGCAAGAGGTCTTCCACCATCTTGCTTATCCCAATCGGGACGATAAAGTGTCGGCGGAGGACTTCAGCACCCTCTGCGCCGTGCTCGGGGTCACCGGAGCACCGAAAGGGAAGAAAACGATTAAAGGAACGCGGGATGGAGAAGGCGACGAAGACGAGGACGAGTTCAAAGACGTATGCTCCGGACTGCCGAGTCAGATAACTTTTAAGGACTTTCACTCGCGTCTGTGCGGCTTCTTTCGTGTGCGTTCTGCGCGCAGAGGCACAGGGGAATGTGTGTGGCGACTGCCCGTTACTGAGGAGACGGAGCTGGTGGAGAGACACATTCGGCTACGTTGGCCTCGTGTGAGAAGGAGAAAATATGTCAGTTTTGATCTGACAAAGAGCCAGAACGGCCACAACAGATCCACAGCTGGTCGGAATGCAGAGGATAGTTCTTCCGGTACGCTGAGTTGTGCATGTGCAAGACATTTGACTACCAGCTCTTTGTTCACTTACACGTACATTTGATATATTGTGAGTGTGACGTATACAGGTAACGATCCTGAACCGCAAACGCGTCTCTCTGCCCTTAAGTTTACTTCTCTCTTTGGGGGCGTCGATCAGGGGGCAAGCATGTTAAGGGGCCTATAGGAATTATTATTGGATAG